TAATATTGTGTCTACCTGACAGTAAGGTACGTACCAAGTGCAGAATGGGCCATGGCCTTTCTTGTTCCTCAAGCTTACAATATGCGCCCCGTTAGTGATTCTTTCCAGAATTGTTATAATTACTGTAATGCTATTGAAGAAATGCTTAGAGATCTGCTATTTCCAGCAGAGAAATGGACTCAAAGCTAATTGAAATTCTACAGTTGCTCCCTGGAAAATCTGAGCCCTTGCTTGATTCACCTTCCCAGTGTCTCCAAATAGATTCATGTTCCATATGTGTCATGCAGCCTTAATAATCTATTTGAGGAATTCCATGACACAACCTTGAGCCTTCATCAGCTCATACCTCAACCTCAGAAAACCAGGCGCATTCAGGAACCTGAGACCTTGGCACAAACAGATGCACATTAAAAAAAAAAAAACAGCTCATTGAATTGCAAAAACAAAACAAAACAAACAACAAAGAAAATCAGCTCAGAATAGCAAATGAGGAAGAAACAGTTTGAAGATATTCCGGCTGAATGTTATATAAAAGTCATGTCAAGGTGTGATGACTAATGCATTATGGATTCCTTGATTTTCATTATGTGCTAGCTTGAGACTCTGGCCTCTCCGTAGAGGTTTCCATGCTAATCACAATAATAATGCCAGGTATACATGATCGCTAATCCCTGTAACAACTCTGTAAGAAAGATAGGATGAGAAAACTGGGGCATGGGGAGATAGGGCTAGGGGCACACAGGACTCTCAGGCTTCGTGCTCAGACACACACTCCTCTTGTCTCCAGCACTGCTGGAGTGAGACTGCCCTGTGGTGGGAGTTATGGGGCTGGGGGCTGGAGGGGCAGGACTGGGAGGGGGTCAGGAAGACACAGCAAGGCAGAGTGACAGGGCGAGGAGGGTTTTGTGTCCAGGCCGATCATGTCTCTCTGGAAGCTTCTCCACATCATAGCTCCCCTGGGGACAGTGTGGCTCATGTGCACTGAACCTTGCCTTTTACTGACAGTGGAAAAAAAAGTGGAACACAGCATTTTTTCCTGACTGTTGTGGTCAGCTGACTCAACATGAGTTTCAAAGAGAAGTCCCTCTTTACTTGAAAATGAGCAAATAAGCACATGGAAACAAACAGACAAATGAAACCTGCAAAACACCCCCAGGATGAGTGGGAAGAGCCTGTCTCTTGCTCCTTTGGTCATTTGTTGTTACCACTGCTTGCGGGACGAAGTCCATGGCAAGGTTGGGCTTGTGGATTCTGTAAGACCTTGGCCCTAGAAAACAGCTGTAGCCTGAATGGCTTGTAAATATCTTCTGAGCACCTGTCTTGTGCCAGGCACTTGTGATCCAAAGTTGAGTGAGACTAAGTCGTTGCCCCAGCAGAGTTTGCAGTCTGGCCTGGGAGACCAACAGGTAAGCAGATAATTAAGATGCAGCAGGAGAAATGCTATGATACAAGGGCATGTGAAGTGCCAATGAGCAGAGAAGTAAATGCACATTCCAAGGCCCAGTTCCAAGTTAGGGCAGGTGAGATGGGGACGCACGCTTAGAGACGGGATGAGAGGGGGAGCATGTAGCCGTAGGCTATGTTAGAGGTGAGACACTCCTGCCAAGGCACCTGGGACGCTGGCGCCCATTATGGGGGCCACAGGGCCACTGGTAAGGCTGGCCCAGGACTTAATTTAGGACAAGAGTCTTTAAAGCCATGATTACCCTAGGGACAAAAGTAGCTTTAGTAACTGACTGGTAAGTATCTATCATCAATACCAAACTAGGAGTGAAGATGTATCAGGGATCAGAAAATCACTTTAGAGATAAGAGTCAGGGACTCATGCATCAGGCACACAACTGGGAGCTGCAAGTTCAAGGCAGGAGAGAAAAATGGGGACACGGACCGCAGAAAGACCTGGAGTCCTAGGGTGCAGAGAATGGACATAAAGTTTGTCCCTGGGCCACAGGGAATACTAGAGAAAAGGATGGCATGCTGAAAGGGGCCCAGAACTATCCCCTACTCGTGTGCGGCAGGCTGAACCACCCAGGCTGAATGTGAATGGCTGGGTCCAACACCCTGCTCAGGCAATTTAAATGGAACCAGCCTTCGGTGAGAAGCAGGTGTTCTCCGTTGCCCCTGGATGGGGGACTTCATGTGTTTGTTCCTGAGAGTGTGTGAGGAGGAAAGGCGGGGAGCTGCCCCATGCAGCAGTAAGAGGAGGGGTGGGGAAATTCTGGCAGGAGGCCCAACAGAGAACCAGTAGGCAGACTCTGGGAGGTCTGTGGGCAAGAAGAAAATAAGATAGGAGTGGGTGGCTAGCCTTTACAAAGGCAGCCTCCATCCATCTCCCCCAAGACTGCACAAGGGACAGAGGTCCTCTACCTTCAGCAAGAAGACGAATTTCTGTGCAGTCCCTCAGCCAGTGATAGTGACTCCAAGGGGCCAGGAGGGTCCAGTACTTCCTTGGTATCTACCATATTGATCCCAGTAGCTCTCCAATACACAGGCCCTGAATTTTCATCTTGACCTCAGTGCAACGATGAGAAGGCAGGCAGGCAAGGTCCTGATGATGTCTTAGAGCAAACAAGGGGCACCACATGCCTTAATTCCATGTCAGCTCAATCATCTTGTACTCAGGGAGTCCTTGTGGGCCTAGCAAAGTGCTGTGCAAGATAGACAGAATCCCAGGAAGTCCCACTTCTGTAACAAGGCGCCCAAGCTCTCGGGTGAAGGCCTGTTATTGCAAGGGATAGTCAATAAATATGAGTTCTTCACAACCAAAGGGTTTACAGTTTGCTCTGAAGATGCATATTAGGTAACCGTGACCTCTAAATGCTTGTTGAATCTCTACACTATTCTTTACCCTTGGGTTCTCTGGTCTTCTGTGCTGCCACTGGGGTTAAGGCCTGAATTATTCCATCATTTTTTAATTTGTCAAAAAAGTCTATTTTCTGGCCAAAACCCTTGGCTAACTGAGGACATCCTGCATTCTTCTCACTTTCAAACTCAGCAGCCATAGCTGGCTTTCTTTACGGGCCTTCCTCCACAACAGAACAATTTATTTTCCAGTAGCCCATCACAAGAGTTGCTAAGCAGAAAAATGGCAAAAGCTGAGTTGAAATGTAGATGCTAAGCAGTAAGCTAAGTTTGTAAGCAGCTAAATGGCTCACCCTCACCCTGAACATCGCCCTCAGACCATTCTAGTCTGTGCCTCAGAGGAGGAACAAATTTTTTGTGTCACAGGCTTATTCATAAACCTCCCAAACCAAAAATATTCGAGCTGCTGAGGCTACTGCAACACACTGGCTCAGGTGCTGCTCTGTACCCTGCCCCCAGGAAGGAGAAGCTTCTTTCCCAAAGCTTTGAAGCTGTTCACTGTGGGGGCTGTGTGACACCCATCACCGGGCTCGGTGCTCAGAAGGGAGGCTTTTGCTCAGGATGTTGGCCGCAAGTGTAGGTACCTCCGAGGGGTCTGCTGGTTCCTGTTGCAGCATGGGGGCAGAAGGGATGGTCACGGGGATTTGGACAACTTTGGAAACTCCCAGCTGCTCTGCTTTGTCTACAGCTATATGCCAGGAGCTGTGGCTTGGCACTGCCAAGCAAATGTAGATCCTCGGCCCTCCCTGCTGCTCTGGCCCTGCTGGGATCCCCACAGGCAACAACAGTCCATTGCATGCCCCTGCCCAGACCCTGTTTCCATTCTCCACTCTCCTTTCTCCTTGGAGAGGATCCTATGTGTTTTGAAAAGGTACCTTTGATTTTAGACTTTAAGTAGATTGATGTTAAATCACTTGAATAGAGTTTAAAATACAGCCATTGCCATCAGGAGGAAATTCAAATCTTTGATAAAGTCATCTTTCCACGTCTTTCCACCTCCTTAACTCCTACACCCTGCTGAAAAAATCTGACGTCAGTTCCCATGTTAGTACCCCCTACTTTTGACAGGAACTTTCTTTAAAGATAAATTTAAGCAGAAATTCCATCATGCCGTTAGAATCTCATCCAGAATCACATCTATTTTTGAAAAGCTTTTTCTTAGCTCTGTTTAGTGATCTTTTAATTATGCCAAACAACTGTCAAAAATCGTATTGCAGAGCTTCTCACAAATGTACTAGCTGTCTTTAAGTCACCATATTGTCACTCCTCGAGAGTCGTATGGTTTTGTTTAGCCATGAGGACGAAGGCCAGCCTCCGCCCCTGTGGTCTGAGTAAGTCAGTGTGCCCGGGAAATTAATGAGTGTGGCCTGGCCTGGTGGGGCAGCCCATCCTGGGTTTTATAAGGCCATTTCGGTGTCAGGCTGCCACTTCTAATCTTGCCTTGGGGTTTGGCTCCGGTCCCACTCTTTCCCTCAATCTCATTTATCAACAGCATGTGAATTAGAGCAGAAGCTAACAGACAATGAGCTGAGGGTGGCACGTCCTTCTGCTTTGTGAGGACAGCCGTGTCCCAGAGGCCTGGACATACCACATCCCCTATGGTGATTTGCTTTTCCATCCCATGGTCTGATAGGACCTTGGAATGAGTATGGAAAGGGATTTAGGAGTAGACAAGGATAAGATCTAAAATGTTCACACTCTTCTTCTTTGGACTCCCTCTTTACACCCCCTGCCGCCCCCACCCAGTGGCTGTCCATCACTTATATAAATAATTCTCATAAAAAGTTCCTCAAAGAACCAGCGAGGAAGCAGATAGTGTTCAGGATGAGTCTGGACCTTGCTGTACTCTGAGAGTGGTTTTGGTGTCATTAGCTTTGGAAACAAAGGAATACACAGAAGAGCATTAATCACATTGCTGGGCTAGCAACTTTTTGGGTGAGAAACCCTAAATTAAAGATGACAATACGTAGTTAAATAAACACCCATTGGGTTGGGAAGAAAAATGTCAACATATTTTTTAGCTGTTGGTGAAAGTTAACAAGGTTGTAGATTATTGATGTTTAACTACTGGGACTTAGACATTCTTTTGGCCATTTTCATAAACATAATTGGGAACAAAACAAACCAGTCATTTTGAATTTATTTTAAAACAATTGTGTTTTCATGTATTGTGAATAACTTTTATACAGCAGAGTTGGTGTATGTGTGTGTGTGTACTTTAAAAGCCTCAAAATACAGAAAAGCCTTGCTGTTCGCTAGGCAGCTGGCATCTGCTGCTCTATTCCAAGTGACTAACTCATCTACAATGACTTCTCACCCCTTTGGATAAATCAGAGCATCACAGGCTACAAAAATGGTGGCAGCCATCCTATATTCTCTGTCAGTTATCCAGTGAGCTCTAGATATTTTTAGGTATTTCAGAAGGGACTTCCAAAAAGGTCTTCCAATATTTTTGTCCCTAGACAACCATTAGCAGCAACTAAAAAAAGTAGGGAAAGAGTGTCCACATTTCACACCCCTCACTCCTGATGTTCCACTGAGATTCAGCAGATGGAAGCACAGCAGTCATTTTGCAAGTGGCTGCCAAATCGGGCAGCCAGACAAGGCAGGGAGGAAAGGGATGCTATTCAAGATGCTCAAAGGTGGGGGCTCCTCTCTGAGCCCCTGCTTCCTCTCAGGTAGCCCTTCATCAGTGCCACAGCAGGTCAGTTCCAACAGCCAGAGTGGGTAACTTGAAGCAGGCAGCCCAGCCCCACCACCAGTGGAAGAAAGTCACCCAGCCCTTCATTTCACAGATGGGGAAACCCAGATGAACAGAGTGACTCATCAAGGACATGGAATGAATTGTGCGAGAATCTCAGCCTTTGGATAACCAGCCTAGAGGTCAGAGTGTCACACCTCAATGCATTGTCTCCATCATAGACTCTAAAAGGGGGTTCAGGGGCCATGAGCCTTTCAGTCATCAGTGGCTTCTAAAATTTGCCCTAAAGGAAAATACCCCTTGTGGTTGATGATCATTATTTTTGTACACTGCTTCCCTTTTGGGGACAGAAATCAGTGTGTGTGCTGTGTGTTCTGTTCTTCCCAGAACAAGGCCTAGAAGGCAAATGGCCTTCATCCAGTTCCTGCTTTTGGATCACTATGTTTCTGAACCTTATTATTTTTAAAAGAGAAAGAAAACTGAAATTGAATCAGGGCTTTTATCTTGCTATCTCCCAAATTATTTGATTTAAAACCTGAACGCTGAGCTGGCACATCTCTCCACTTGCTCTAAGTAAACAAATGCAGCAGGAGGCCTGCAGTGAGGATTCTTCAGCTTTGGCTGGGACCACCAGCCCCTGAGAATGGTGGTGGAAATGGTGGTGTGTTCCGGCACTCCTTCCTGGGGGTGACCGTTTTATCCTGAACTTCCCATGGGGAGAAATCCTGCCATTTCTGTTCTAATGCTGATAGCCTGTTTTGGGAGTTTGAAGCTGGATCAACTGTTTCAAACTGCCTATTTGTAATTTTCACACTCAGCCCACTTTGCTTTTTTCCACTAGATCTACTCTCTCTATCTTCATTGATTTTAAGCAAAAATTTGCTAGAGTCCAGTGGGGCTCTAGGTACCATCCTAGGTCTTTTTGAATAAGGACACATGCCTAAAACTCCCCCGCCTGGCCCAGCCTTTCCTATCACACTCAGAACCAGTTGAGTCAGGCAGTTTTATTACTGAATAAATGCTATTGGAGAATGTGGTTTGGCTATGTGGGCCTAATACCATGCCCCTGAATTAGATCTACATTCCCAACCATGAACAGTGTCGCTGCTGAACCCCAACAGGACACTGCCCTTGAGGACTGACTGAGAGTGTGTGCTGATTGGTAGATTCAGAGGGAGGAAAGAGGAAGATGCTGGGCTGAGTGTGTTCAGCTCTGCCCACAGCTGACAAGGAGACACCACTCTGCCTTGTGCCTGAGGTGCAGTGTCTGAAGAAGTGGAGAGCTTGGAGAGCAACTCTGTGTCACCAATGGGGAATAAGGCTGCCTCCATCATACGGGTGTTGCTAATGAGCCAAGATTCCCCCCCAGGCCTCCAGATCCCAAATCTGGGGCTTAGTCCATTATACCTATTCCACTATTCTGAGAGGTAACAGTAGGAGCTCTTTAGCAAGAAATAAAAATCTGCCAAAACAAAAAATTTGCTCTATACTTTAAAAAAAGAGAGAGAAATATATTAATTGCCTTTCAGAAAACTATTTTGGACTTACCAAGTTGATACAATTTCTTTGTTTACAAGAAATATACCAACATTTGCAAACCACATGCTTCAGATTAGAAAGTGTTCAGAACTGCTGGTGGGAAAAAGCTAGGTGACATCCCTCCATCTTCTCATCCCGTGTTTGAGCTGTGGGAAGCACCATGCTTACAAAAGTGAGGATGCCTTTTGTCTGTTGGAACAAAGCATTGAACAACTTTGTCAATGATGGGACGAGATTTCCACCCAGGCTATATAGTAATTAATGACTTGAATTTGTGACATGGCTCTCAGCACATAGAATTCACTCTTGAAAGTCCAAAGTTAAGATCACTGGTGTAGTCCAAGAGCAGACAGAACTTCCCACCTTGGGCATACCGACATCATCCTGCAGGCAAACAAAAAGAAATGAGCTCTCGATTGGATTTCCTAATGCAGCTCATTTCAAACGCGGCGGTAGACTCTATTTTCTGCCCTATCAGTGAAACACACCCTTTGGTTAATGACCCACATAACCGAGCACTGAGGCACGTTTACACTGATCTGTCTGCTGAAGGACAAACCCACCCTTTGTGGAGGAGAAAAGTTCAATATACAAAAAGGGGCAGACAATGAGTAGACTTTGTTTGTAGTTGTTTTTCTGGGCAGTTAATCTTTAGTGTACTTTGTACATGTTCATTTTTCCTTGAGAAAAGCCTTTTAAAAAATTTAATGTACTGTTTCATTTTTGGATTATAGTTTAATGCTAGAAAATTCCGAATTTCCCATCTTTCAAAAGAGTCAGTAGACTGTATACAGAGTTTTATAAATCTCGTCTCTAAAATCCCATCCAATTTGCCATGTAATGTCAATTTTTAACATTTCAAAGGAATTCATTTAAACAAAAAGACCTTCTGGAGAGAAGATGAGGTTGGCGTTAGAATTTAGCCAAACAAAACTCTCTGTGCTGCCATAAATTCCTGCCATGCATGTGAACAGGGCATGCAATTAGAATCCCATGGGTTGGGCAACATCACCTGAAGTCATTGGGCACCGTTAAGTAGAACAGATAAACTGAGTCAGCAGTTTAGAGATGCTAGCAATTAGGGCTATTGGCCTAACCTTCAAGGTTGACCCACCATTCCCACTCACACACACAATCTCCAACATACATCTCTGGTCCTTCAAACTAGTTCTTGCTTCTTTGGCTCATAACTCATATTGTCCCTCACCTGGAAGCCCTTCCTTCTTTCATCCTTTCAGGGCACTTCAAGTAGCCTTTTGTGATCACACAGGTGTCACTGGCCTCTATCTTAATAGTTCCTGTAAAACCTGTGTCCCACGTTACAATCCTACAATCCAGTGCATCTTCTCTCTAACTTCATGGAAAATTTATTGAAAGCAAGAACTCTAACTTTTTAATTCATTAAAGAACTTGTGAGCTGGAAGGATCTTATGGGAAAGACTCAGAGACAGATGCAGTCATGCTACTGAAATGTAAAGACCCAGACCAGATCACCTAAAAGTAGTGGCAAATAAAGCAGATGATCCACACAGCACAGGACCACAATATGTGCTCTTTTTATAGTGGGTGATATTATTTCAGCCTGATTTGTCCCCTGATTTCACAACTTGAGGGAATGCCCCCTTTTACATCAAATATACAGGTCATACCAGAGACGATCAAAAACTCCTCTGAAATAGTGAAAACCTAAGAAGAGAGCTTGAATTCATAAAGAAACTGAAAGGTTAAAGCAAAAAATTTATACGACTGGAAGAAAAGACACCAGTGAATAGCAGAGTATCTGCTCATATTTTAGTATCAGGACTCGGGCTCACTGGGGGGCCAGTATCAGGATGTTACTTGATTTTTGTTGGGGGAGGACAGGAGGGCAAACCAATCTGAAAAGTGTGTGAAAGTAGAAAACAGAATGAACATGGACTGGGGGACTGTGATGATATCCAGAGTGCAAATAATTGCTGTATTTAATTTTAAGTTAATTAAATTTACTGTCCCACCTCATAAATAATAGACATTTTTGGTCTTGAAAACCATTTTGCTCGTTCGCATATATTTTTCTTATGTTTTAAATGCTGTATCTTTCTGATTGATGACTTGTGTTTGGGCTGATAGATGTTCCATTTCATTCCCATGTAAAATTATGGATTGAGTTATTTAAACACAGATTTGGTGGCTTAGTAAATAGGCATTTAAGCTCTAACTATTAAATTAAGTTCTTGTAGCTATCTGTAGACCCTGTACTCTGGGGTATATAAAAAAATCTCTGCTACTTCTATTGAGTAGAGCAAGATACCATAAATACCTTTGTCTTGAAAACTGTGATCATGTAAAACATTGTTTAACAATCTTTTATGAAATCATTTAGTAGATGCACATGAGTATGCATATACAGAAAATCTGATATGAGTGACTATGTGTGGATATACTCCTTTAGGAAATGACTGCTGAACATTCGATGGAAGTGGTGGAGAGATACTGGGCAGGGTGCTTGATTTCCAGTGGCTGCTCGGGCACTAGACCATTGCACAACCTTGAATAAGTAAAGAATAAGTAATTTGCTTCATCTGTAATGACTTATAGGGTTTCTGCACTCCTAAAACATTCTACTTTGTAAAATAAGAGATGACCTCTTCCTCCTTCTTATGGTAAATATGAGATAAAATGTTTCTAAAGTGGGAATGGGAAGGGTAGGCGTGTCTGGAAAACACTGGGAATTTGCACCATTTGGTCTACAATCACATCATCTTTTAAAAGACATTTTGAATTCCTATCATTTGGTGTCATATCATTTGACCAGAGAAGCCTTTTTCACTTTTTGCCATTTGGACATTCATTAGTAGTGAGTTGTCATTGTCTTCCCGTGGCAAAGTTTTCACAAAAGAATCCATATCCTAAGGTATTAGGATAAGTGCAAGCTTTTCTTAGCACTACCTGAAAACTGACTGTTTTTCATCCTACGGGAAGCTGGATTTGACAGCTAATGGATCTGTTTTGTTCTAAAACTACCATCTGTTCCAAGGCACTTTTAAAGGTTTCTATCGTCACCATTATGTGTGAGATGTATAAATATATATTCGTAATTATTCATTTCTAAGAAAAAGGTAAAAACACAATTACACTTGGACTTCAAAGACTTCATATGTAAACAAATGCAGCCAAGTTGAAATTGCAGCAAATAAATAAATTGATATATCCATTGGCCTTCTAGTTATATACACACTTGGTATCTCTAAACACTGAAGGAACGTTTTACTGCAACTGAATTACAGACAGTGCTGGAGACAACAGTGCTACAGACAGCTTCCAAACAAGCGTCTTTGTAGTTGCACTGTCTCCTCAGGGGTGTGTCTCAGCCACACTGGTTTCTTTTCTAGTGGTACCTGCTGGCATTTGAATTCCAGGTTCTTATTCAATTCCATGCCTTCACTTACCCCACTTGTTTGTCCATCCCTTTCTCCAATTCCACAATCCAATTAAATCTCCCTATGTGGTCAACCCAGTTCAAACTGGGTTTTTGTCATTTCACCCACAGAAATAAATCCCTGACTGATTTATAAAATATCAAATATCATGACCCTCTGCCCTAGTCCTTTATTCCTTATTCTCTAGCTAATCTGATAAACTAGTCCATGATATGAGTGCATTAGGTGCCAATAATGTCTTACCTCTCCCAGGTAACAGATGCCTCTTAAATTTGACCTCAAGAAACATCTGTCTTCAACTGGGGAACCATGGATGGTCGACAGTAAGAGGATTTTGGCCAGGGTAAGTACATGTTCCATTGTTCTTCAGTGAATATGTCATACAGACAATAGCACAGCAGGGGGATTTGTGTTCCTCACTGTCAGGCTCCTGGGAGCCACCCTGGCAGCAGGCATCATGGATAGGGAGCAGCGGGTTGAGCCATAGGGAGGCAGTTAGAGGGAAGCTGAGTGTAAAGGCCATTGATGTGGTGCTGGGATTGCTCTGGCATTGGAACTGAATGAGCTCCCAAGGGAGATGATGAGGGCAACATTCCAGAGGAGGCGGTGGCCTGCAGAAGAACGGAGAGGGGGAGCAGGCCTCACATAGTGGACTGCAGTGATGCACAGAGGGGGCTGTCCTACTGAGCGGAGCGGTGGTGATGCAGAGGACCGATAATCCATGAAGCCTGTGCTTAGGAAATGTGTGATGTAGGATTTGAATTTGACAGGGGCTTTACCATAGGTTTGCTAACTGAGGAGTGGGGTGACCCAAATGAGACTGTCAGAATGTCAGATTGTTCTCCAGGTTCCACGTGGGAAATCCGAGCGCATACAGGAGGGCCAGCGGCAGAGCCCCAGACGGACACGGTTGCCAAATTGCAGGAATATATTGGAAGGGATGGGCTGAGAGGACACAGAGCAGGACTCAGGAGTGACTTGCTGTTGAGGAAGCAGAGAAGAGAAGGGAGGGACTGAAGTTCACTCAAAGCCGCCAGCGTCCAGAGCTGGGAGGAAAGTGCCGCTCATGCTGCTGTTTGGAGGTGGGAAGGAGGGAAGTAGAGGGAGGAGCAGGCAGCACTGGATCTTTAAGAAGAAAGATGCAAGTGATATTTGGAACTGGATGGTTCCTCTGAGATGAGAATTCCAAAAAGAAGGAAGAAATGTTTTGTTTTTTCTTTCTCTTAATGACTCCTAGACCAAACCACTGGACAGTGAAAGAATTAGTACCATCTGGACTTACTCTAGGAAACGTCTAACTCAACCTAGACAATTCACTAAGGACACTCTCTTACAGACATTTTCTGCTAAGAGATTTATATGGATATTCGTTTTCATTCCTGTTCTCTCTTTGGGAGGGAGGGATAGTTTGAAAAATTAAGTAAGTGATGAATAATGATTAGGAATAACTGTGGAAGTAAAACCTGAGCTGAATTCTTCTTATAGCTCAAACTCATAATCTGCAGACACTGGTCTAAATGTTAAGCAGAGGAGACAAATGTGAAGGCCTAGTGTCTGGTTTTGAACATTGTACATTGTTATGAACATATTAGATCCACCAACCAAGGTGCCACACACACGGACCAGACTCCCTTGCCTGCTGCTGAATAATATTTGAATAGGAGCAGCCATATCAGGTATCATGAGACCCAGCCCGGCCACAGCTGATTGGAGCTCGTTAATGCCGATCCACGGCGAGAAGCCCTGGAGGATTCTGTTCTTCCTCCCCAACATCGACGAACTCTGCAGAGGTGGTGGTGATTAAACAGACTAATCAGAGTCTTTCTCTTGGAAGCTGCTCCTTAGAAGCTCAAAAAGCCCGTCTAGAATAGCATCTCCGTCACTCCATGTTCACTGGCATCTCTGGTACTCTGCTACCAGGTAGCCAGAAACTTGTACAATTACAGCTGAGCATTGAACGATGCT